AGTAATGGACCCCAGATCCATCTCTGCCAGATGCCAAAGCTGCTGGTTATCTCCTCAGTCCCAAGTTGGTATCTGTACAAGGAGGCCAGTGCTTACTTTCTGGGGTCAGTGTGAGGAATAAGTTACCCAGTACAGGCCTGTCCCCTCCCACCCCATCTGACCAGAACACTTCATCTACATGTTAAGGACCCCACTGCTCATCCAGTGCTTGTGTTGCTAATTCCCAGAATTGATTTGCATGTGGATTCCTCTTCCAGAGTTGTATTTGTATACAATTTTGTTTGGAAGTTTTCTGAGTTTCAGTCTTCCTTTCCACTTAGGCCCTTGGTTTTCTTTAGTTACCTAATAACAGGCCAGCCTCTTCCTGCCAATCTGCTAAGTTCCTCCAGGACCCTGTTCTTCCTTTCATACCTAGTCATCAGCTAGTGCTTGGACCAGCCTGGGGACTGACCTAATATCTGAGGGGCCATCCAATGCTTTTCTTTCACATCACTGAAATGTCTACTTACCGCTTCTGTCAGGTAGAGCATTTTGACCACAGAGCTCTGTGCGTGGGAGGAAAGCACTGGGTATATGTAAAGCCTGTTGCTTGTTGCTTCTTTTAGTCAATAATGAGCCAGGCGCCTGCTCTCTGTGCACCGCCCCCCCCCCTAGAGGGTAACTGCCACCTGCGCTAGCTCCTTCCAGGCGGCCACTGGCTCCAGCCCCCACTGAGCATTGATTGGGTGGGACGCTTGGCTCCATTCTGAGTGGTGGAGAGTCCCAGAGTCACTGTGGGGGCAAAGGGGCCAGTGAGGCCATTCTCCCGCATTGTGGGCGGAGGAGGCAGAGTCCAGGCACCAGAGGAGCTTTTGGAGACTTGGAAGCGAGCATCCATCTGCACCTGAACTTGAGACCCAGTGGGCCAAGACAGTGCAGGGTGCTCCTCGCCCTGCTGGCATCGCTGCTCCTCTTTGGGGCCAAGGCGGCCAATGGAGAACGCGACATCCACGACTTTTGCCAAGTTCCAAAGGTGGTGGGGAGATGCCTGGCCTCCCTCCACAGGTGGTGGTACAATGCCACCTGCCGCTCCTGCCAGCAGTTTGTATATGGAGGCTGCGGTAGGAATAGCAATAACTACCTGACCAAGGAGAAGTGTCTGCAGAAGTGTGCTGATATCCCAGGGCACGCCATGGACGATGCAGCCACCAGCAGCAGCCCGGCAGATTCCTCTGGCCCGAGTCTCCCCAGAAGGCAGGGTTCTGATGGTCCCTCCAGCGATATTTTCAACTACGAAGAATACTGCACTGCCAAGGTGGCCACCGGGCCTTGCTCCGCATCCTTCCCATGCTGGTACTTCGATGCCAAGAACAACTCCTGTGATCGATTTATCTATGGGGGGTGCTGGGGCAATAAAAACAACTACCTCTCCGAGGAGGCTTGCCTGAGCCGCTGCCTTGGCCAGTGGTCCTATCTGGCCCGGCCCCACAGCATCGTCAAGGACCTGGCGGAGCTGATAGAGGTGATCCTCACCCTCTTGGTGGGTTACGGGCTGCTCTACCTGGTCATGATGGGGTGGACGCAGTTGGACCTTGCCTTCAGCTCCAGGGACGATGAGGACCCCCTCTTGATAAAGAGAACCTGGGGAGGGAGGGGACAGACAGCTGCAGAAAGCCCAAATGGTGTTTAAAATAGATTGATTTATGTTGTTGCGATCATTAGGGCTTTCGCTCTGTTTGTTATTCAGCAGTTAAGAAGGCTGCTTCCTGGGCCCCCCAGGCAGGTTCGCTTTGGAAACCCTCCCCAAGAAGGGCTCGGGTTCACGTTGGGATGGCCTGGCCCCAGACCAGAGTCAGTGCCCCTTTGATTTCTTTCCTCCAGGTACAGTTTCCTTTGTTTATGGTGAAACTTTTCCCCTTCTTTCCTATCACAAAAGTGATGCTTTAATCGTTTTCTTTGTTTTGTACATAAGCAGAAACAAAAGTTTGTGGGTTTTTTTAGTTAGAATTCTGAAAGGAAGTGAGTAAAGTGTAGACGTTTAATAAAAAGGGTGTCCCCTTTTAAAATTGAACAGAACAAAAACAATGAATGCATAATTAACCAAGGACTGTGAATCCCTGATTTCATACATTGTGTCTTCCTCCAACAAACGTTTTTTGAATGCCTGCTGTTGTGTCAGGCACTGTGTTGGGTATCAAGGTTCCAAATGTTAATACAAAAAGAGTTCTGCCTTTAGAAAGCACACAATTTAGTAGGGGCTAAAAAAAATCAAGACATGAAAACAAGATAACTTTATTATTCATCGAGGTCTATACAGGGCACAATGGTGATGGATTGGCAAGAGGGATCCCGTCTTTGATGGGGAAAGTGGAGAAGGGTCAGGCAGGAGCAGGGACACAGAAGGTGCCAGAGAGCTTGTCCATAGACTGGCTTGAGCAGAATTGTGTTTTCCAACCATCTTCTGTCTGAGAAGTACAGGGTGTGTCTGTAGAAATGTTCTCTGTCTAAAGATAGGGGGTGACTTGCTCTGTTACGGAATGCTTCATTGAATTTCTATGAAAGTTTTGATAATGCATCAAGTCATTCCAGAAAGTAATTGTCAGTCTTTTTTTTTTTAATTATGTTTTCATTGTGAGGTTTTTTTTGTGTTTTTTTTTAAATATATTTTATTGATTTTTTACAGAGAGGAAGGGAGAGAGATAGAGAGTTAGAAACATCGATGAGAGAGAAACATTGATCAGCTGCCTCCTGCACATCTCCTACTGGGGATGTGCCCGCAACCAAGGTACATGCCCTTGACCGGAATCAAACCTGGGACCTTTCAGTCCCCAGGCCAACGCTCTATCCACTGAGCCAAACCAGTTTCGGCAAATTGTCAGTCTTTAAAGAAAATAAGAAACAAGGCTCTTTCACTCTGAGCAATAAATGCATTCAGCTCCTCCTGGCAATTAAGCAGTCCCATCCCCTGTCACTGAGTTAGTGCACAAGCCACTTGGTGGCAGTTCTCAGGATTTCTGAAGCAACAGATTACTAACAGCCACATTTCCATGGGGGTTTGGAGGCAAGTGGGAGTTGATTTAAGAGGTACTGGTTCTACCAAGATCTTTCCTACAGTAGAATAAATCAGCCAGTACATCAACAATGTGTATCCAAAGGGCCTAGACTACAACTGAGATGCAGGCAAGACAATTTAGTGAGAAAATGCCCAAATTCAGATCCCAGAAGCCCAGATCCTAGCCTTTCATTGACTTAGAAGACTTGGAGGTTTATCAACTATCTCTCTGGAGCTTAGAGTTTTAAAATCTGTGAATAAATATTTATAAAATGAATGAATGGATGGATGGATGTAAGATGAAGATGGTAATACCTGCAGCACCTTCTTCATACATGTTTTAAGCACAGTGATTCATTATACTTCAATAAGATAAGATGCTTCAAGAAACTTGCATTTCAATTTTTAAGTCAGTGGTGGTAAATATCTCTTGAAGGGTTTCAGAGTCTGAGAATATACATATTCTTTAATCATCCAAATTAGTCCTTGACCAGGAGAGAAGAAATAATAACTTGAAGAGCAGGTGTTATATTGCATGTCTGTTAGATAATTAGCTGGCTAGGATCTCCAAAAATATAGCCTCCTATGGGCTACACTCAAAAAAAAAATTGGAAGTTGTAAACAATGGAAAGCCTTCAATAACAATGAAATAATGACAGTCTTAATCCTGTCTGTTAAAGTAATGGTGTTGGCTAATGCTTTCAGGGCAGCATTCTATAGTGGACAAAACTTACACATTGGAACAAAGAGGCCTGACTTATATCAGTTGCATGACCTTAGGCAAAATATTTTAAAAGTCCAAATCACTGTCCAGCCCTCGTGGCTCATTGGTTGAGCGTCAACCTATGAACCAGGACAGTGATGGCGAACCTTTTGAGCTCGGCGTGTCAGCATTTTGAAAAACCCTAACTTAACTCTGGTGCCGTGTCACATATAGAAATTTTTTGATATTTGCAACCATAGTAAAAGAAAGACTTATATTTTTGATATTTATTTTATATATTTAAATGCCATTTAACAAAGAAAAATCAACCAAAAAAATGAGTTCGCGTGTCACCTCTGACACGCGTGTCATAGGTTCGCCATCACTGAACCAGGAGGTCATGGTTCAATTCCAGTCAAGGGTACATGCACAGGTTGCAAGCTTGATCCCCAGTAGGAGGCATGCAGGAGGCAGCCAACCAATGATTCTCTCTCATCATTGATGTTTCTATCTCTCTCTCCTTTTTCCTTCCTCTCTAAAATCAATATATATTTCCAGTCAATGGTGAACTGGATCTAGCCTTTCATACTGAATGTTATAGGATGTCATAATAAATAAATGAAATTTTACATATACATAGCATCTGCCCAATGTTTGTGTTCCTGTCCTCACCCCAGTTGACTTTATAGAGAAAGGTCCTCTCCATGTCAGGTGCTATGATAATGCTAAAAGAGGACACATATTTTATAGAAACTCAACTTGCAAAGAAAAGTTTTACTAAGGTCTTCTCACCCTATTCTGCTTTCAATGATTCTTCCTTGAAGAATTTTCCTGAGGGCTTGGACCTCATACAGCTCTAACCTGAATCTGTTCACTGACTTTCTCCCTAAGTGTGTGTGTGTGTGTGTGTGTGTGTGTGTGTGTGTGTGTGTGTGAGAGAGAGAGAGTGAGAGAGAGAGAGAGGCATCTGACTTCAACCCAGAATATATGTTTCATTTCTTTTTTTTTTAAGAGAGAGAGAGGGAGAGGAAGAGAGAGAAACATCAATGTGAGAGGAACATTGATCAGCTGCCTCCTGCACGCCCCCTACAGGGGACCAGCTCATAAGCCAGGCATGTGCCCTGACTGGGTATTAAACCGGCAATCTCTTAGTGCATGGGACAATGCCCTGAGCCACACTGGCCAGGGCTATGTTCCATTTCTTATGACATTATAAATGTGTTCACACAATATTTCACTTCCCACCTCTTCTCCCAGCCTCACATCCCCCTTCCTTCCTTCATTACCCTGGGTATTTCACTCCCTGGGTAACACCCTCCAATGGAAGGAACTAAATATATACAATGAGAATGAAAACATAAAACGGCTCCTCCTTCTCTCTCATACTCAAGTATGTTCACCTTTGGGGAGGATTTCCTGCACCTGTAACTCCCCCTGTCAGTCCTCACCCCACAAGTTGTCTCACTGCTTTGTGTCCCCACACTTTCATACCATCCTGCACACATAATATACTATTATTTTTTGCATGTCCATGTTCCTGATACAGTGGCAGATCCTTGACCATGGTGTCCACAGGCACTGCACATGATGAATGAACTGGACCGATGAATTTTTCTCCATTCTGAGTGTTTCACTACCCAGTGGGAATGGGTACTCTGAGGAGCACCCTGCAGGCTAGTGTGGAAAAGACCTGAGTCACTCATGTGACATGTGCCCTGTCTTTGTGCTCCCTCATCTCTGCCCTTCAACCACCTGTCCATGTCGGTCTCCATCCGGTGAGCTCTGACTGCAAAGAAGGAACCCAAGGGACCCGACTTCTTTACAGCATCAGCTTTGCCCGTGTGCTAGATTCTGGTACCTTTTTCAAGGTGCTTATGCGTAGAACATCTCACTGGATTTACGAAGGGGTTGTAAGATCTTGGGCAGACAGACAGGCCTTTTACCTTTATGGTATGTTTACCTTGGCGAGCAGGAATGACAGGGGAGAGAAGGAAAGCCAACCTGTAGACTGGAGAAAGGATGTCTTGCTTTTTGGCAACGCCAACAAAGTCTGTCGTGTTCCTGTTTGCTTCTCGCGGTCCCTTTTAAGTCAATAACTGAAATATATGTGTTGAAAACCTGCATGAGAGTTGTGTTGATGGTGCCTGGGAATCTAAGTCTCTTACATCTTATTTCACTTTTTTCCTTTTTACGCCTCCTCCTCTTTTTCTTCCTCCTTGGGTTTGATCACCATCATTCTCAAAGCATCATGGCTTTGTATGTGCTCTTCCTTCCATCCCTCCTCTACCTGGCTAATCCTGACCCTTGTAGCTCCAATGTCCCCTCTTACCTTCCTCACAGCCCTTCTCTATGCTCCAGTAGCATTCTGTCTTTTACACCCTTATGGCACTTAATGCTAGCATTGCCCATTCAGTTGGCTAAGTGGCCGATTCCCCACCCAACTCCAAGGCAGATATTATATGTTTGATATATTTTTATATAAAATTCATAAAGTACTTAGAGTACTGCCTGCAGGCAGTAAAACTCAATAACTATTAGGAGTTATTGTTGTGGGTAACCCCCTCCCACTGTTACATTCCCTGGCGCCTAGGAGGTACAAAGTGAATGCTTATTTTATTGAATTGAAAGATAAGGACAACAAAAACACCTTCCTCAGGAACCTAATCACATCTTGCCTCGTGTTAGTTTGATTTCAGTGCTGGTCCTGGACTCCTGGTGTGGCAGAGGAGGGAGCCTGAGAGCAGGTTGGAAGGGGCAGGCCACAGTTCCACTTCTGAGGGGACCTGAGGTAAACCTTGACTCACAAAATAGATCATCAAAGGGAAGTGACCTCTCCTCTCAACCATGTAGTCCAAGGCGCAGCCTCAACCCAGGTTCAACCTCGCCACCTTCTCTTCCAAGAGCCTCTATGTCTCCAGCACATGTTACTCTGGGT